GAGGGCCTGGCGATAGCCCCGGTTTCATCGGGCCCGCCCGCCCACCCCTGGATAACCTGACCTTGTAGGCTGCGCAGGTCAGGGTGCGCAGAACCGGTGCGCGCGGCGCGGGCATGCGTGGGGTGGTTCACAGCGGAAGCGGTTAGGCTATCGGGCGGCACTTTTCCCCCCCCCCCCCCCCCCCAACAGGATAAAACCCGGGTTATCGCCGAGACATGTCATGTTACCCAGCGTGGGCCCGAAGCCGTGTGTTTCTGGCAGGTAGTGCCGCGCAGCCTGTGTGTAGCAGTACGTGTGGTGCAGTCTGCGTGGTGCGAAGGATACGCGGTGCAGTCTCTGTGGTGCAGTCTATGTGGTGCGACCCACGTTGGACAATCTACGTTGTGCAATCTATGTTGTGCGGCCTATGTTGTGTAACATGCGGTGCGTCCTATGTGGTGCAATCCACCAACGCTCAACTTGAAGTTGTCCACTCCCCTGCTCGCGCAAACATCCCGCCCACCCACCCGCAAGTTGGTTTGCAAACCCCATGCGGTGGCGATTGCGATGAGTGTTTGGTGCTGGCTTGTGCATCTCTGCGGCCGCGCTAGCCCGCGCATGCTCGCGCGAGCAGCCGCCAGCTAGCTTGGCGCCACCGACGCGGCCGCGGGGGCGCTGACCGCTCGGCACACCCCAGCGGGCACTCCAGTGCGAGTCGGCGCCTTGGGCGGGCGCGGTGTCATGGCGTCGACGACAACGGTAGACACGATGATGATAGTGGCGATGCTTGTGACGGTGCTGACAGCGATGACGTGGCAGCCGGTGACGCCGCCGATGATGATCACGCCGGCGACGATGACGGCGTCTTCGCGTCGGTGATGAAGGTTTTGGACGGAGTTCGAAGTGCGCGCGCGCAAGTGTTTTATGGACTCGGATCGTGCCACCCCAGCACGCGCGCAAGGGCGCTCGAAAGATTTCGACATGCGCGCGCGCGAAGCCCGTCCGGTAGCATTCTATGAACGTGTCTTAAAACCAACGGTTTCCGTAATAATTCGCAAAGAGCGCGCGCAATTTCTTTTTTTGGTTGTGGAAATCAGTCTTGCTAAACCCTGTGCTTTTTATGTTCGTTCGGACACTCGATCTTGAAATCGTTCCGAATCTGGAGGTTTCTGAAGGATTTCGGCATGCGCGTGCGACGACGCGTGCGTGTGCACTTCGCTTCGTTTTTTTTTGGGGGGGGGGGCAAGGGATTCTTGAAGTTTACGACTTTTAATAAACGAGGGCGCGCGCACCGTATTTTTTTGTGCAGAGGATGGTGGTGGTGTGGGGGGGGGGTCGATACCCGTTGGGCTGAGATGCAACGCGTTCGTATTTCGGATGGGCGTTATGTAAATTGCAATACGTAGACGGGGTACCGATAATCCCATAGGGGGGTAGAGTTTGTTTTTTACCCATGAGTTGGCACATCCCATGCTCTTGCAAACATCCCACCTACCCGCCGCAACTTGGTTTGCCAAACCTATGCGGTGTCGATTGCGATGCATGGTTGGCGTTGGCTGGTGCATCTCTGCGGCCGCGCTAGCCCGCGCATGCGCGCGCTGCGGCCAGCTAGCTTAGTGCCACCGACGCGGCCGCAGGGGACGCTGACCGCTGGGCGCATCTCAGCGGCACTTCAGTGCGGGTCGGCGCTTTGGGCGGGCGCGGTATCATGGCGACGCCGACAACGGTAGACACGATGATGATAGTAGCGATGCTTTTGACGATGCTGACAGCGATGACGTGGCAGCCGGTGACGCCGCCGATGATGATCACGCCGACGACGATAACGGCGTCTTCGCGTCGGTGATGAAGGTTTTGAGCGGAGTTCGAAATACGCGCGCGGGAGACGCGCGAGAGTGGCCGGCCCGCATGGTCTTATTTGATTCGGATCGTGCCACCCCAGCACGCGCGCAAGGGCGCTCGAAAGATTTCGACATGCGCGCGCGCGAAGCCCGTCCAGTAACATTCTATGAACATGTCTTAAAACCAACACTTTTCGTATGCATTCGCAAAGAGCGCGCGCGAGTTTGTTTGGGTTGTGGAAATCAGTCTTGCTAAACCCTGTGTTTTTATATGTTCGTTCGGACACTCGATCTTGAAATCGTTCCGAACCCAGAGGTTTCTGAAGGATTTCGGTCTGCGCGTGCGACGACGCGTGCGTGTGCACATGGCTTCGTTTTTTTGTTTGTTTGTTTTTTCCCCACATGCTTCGTGGGGTGTTGGTTTTCTTCCCTGCCGCGCCGCACCCGCGTCTCCTCACACCTCCCCTCCTCTCTCTTTCTTCCTCCCTTCACTCACACACACACACACACACTTCACTCTTCCCCCCTCGTCACAGCACTGCTCAGCTCAGCTCAACTCACCTCAGCACAGCACAGCACAGCTCAGCTCAGCACAGCACAGCACAGCTCGGCTCAGCTCAGCACAGCTCAGCACAGCCCAGCACGGCTCAGCTCAGCACAGCACAGCACAGCTCGTGGCA